ACCAGTTGGACAAATAGGGGGGAATGCCTGGGAGTGCCAACAACACAGCAGACAGTAGCAGGGATATCAGAGTATAAGGGCTCTAGTGGGGAGAGGGAGGCTATGTTAGGGTGCCATTTGGGGAGTGGGTGTGCAGTTGAATAAGATGCCCAACCTCTAGATAGGCTGACTAGATTCACCAGTTGGACAAATAGTGGGGAATGCCTGGGAGTGCCAACAACACAGCAGACAGTAGCAGGGATATCAGAGTATAAGGGCTCTAGTGGGGAGAGGGAGGCTATGTTAGGGTGCCATTTGGGAAGTGGGTGTGCAGTTGAATAAGATGGCTTGGGATGTTCTGTGAGATATGTACACCAAAAAAATCAAGAAATTTTTTAAAATGTATTATATCTGAGGAGGAAGCATGGAAATTTATGTCATGTTAATTTGTAGAGGTGATAAACATTACCATTGAAATCTACCCAATGACTTTATAGACATACACAGGTGCTGAGGATCCAACTGCAACTGATTATGACTGGTAATAATCAGATACATACAGATTAGAGATGCATACGCCAATATCTCAGTGTTAGTAGCAAAAACAATGAATTTTTCTGCAAGGAACAGTATATTCTAAAATGAAACGGAGATCTTTTTTAAAGGTTAAAACTCATCCAATTTTATGTCTTACAGGGCTTATACCGAGTTCAATATTGTATGATTGTATTAATTCATCTGTGAACCTAAAAATTTACAGCCACCTTTGAAAGAGATGTGTCCTTGCTCTGGAATGTGTTACTGAATATGTTAAAGCTGTTATGAAATGCTTCTTCTAAAAAAAATTCTGTTGTGAATCCATCTGGACCTGAACATTTTTAATTGGGAGAATTTCTATTACTATATCAATATCCTTGTTTGTTATGGGTCTAAGTTACTGACCTCTTCTTGGTTTAACTTTGGTGGTTCTATTAATTTTAAAATTCATTCATTTCTTTTAGATTTTCTAATTTAATAGGGCACAAATTTTTAAAGTGTTCCCTTATAACATTCTGGGTGTTTTTGGTGTGTCTATTGTGATATTTCTCCTTTTGTCTCTGATTTTTTGGTTGGTTGGTTGGGCTAAGGGTCTATCTTCTTTATTTTTTCAAAGAACCAAGTATTAGATTCATTGATTCTTTGTATTGTTTTCTTTGTTTCTATTTCATTGATTATTGCTCTGATTTTTGGGTCTGGGTTTGGTTTATTCTTGCTTTTCCAGATTCTTGAGTTGCATCATCAAGTCATTTATTTGTATTCTTTCTGGTTTTTTAATGTAGGTGCTTAGAGCTATAAGCTTTCCTCTTAGGATTGCTTTTAATGTGTACCAGAGGTTTTTATTGAGACAGAGTCTGTCTATGTAGCCCAGACTGGCCTTGAACTTGGCAATTCTCTTACTTTAGCCTCCCAAGTGCTAGGATTACAGGCATATACCACCTCATCTAATCTCAAACATGTATAAATTTTATACAGACTATTCTCTGGTTAGTCTTTACTGTTCTCAAATAGGCCAATTGGCCTAATAGGCAGGTTTATTTGGCCTGCACAATACTATGGATTAGTTCTTAGCATTTTGAAATTGTGCTCTTTGAATAAGAATGCATATTTCCAGTGTTAATTGAAAATTAATAAGCATTAATAAGTGTGATGGTTAATCTTCATTGTCCACTTGGCTGGATTTGGAATCCCCTAGAAAACACACGTCTAGGTTTATCTTTGAGAGCATTTCCAGAGGGTTTCGCTGAAGAGGGAAGACTCATCCTGAGTAAGCACAGCATCACTAGCTGGAATCCTGGGCTGAATAAAAAGGAAAAAAGGAAAAAGCAAGCTGAGCACCAGCACTCTTTTCTCTCTGCTTCCTGCCAGCACAATGTGACCAGCTGCCTCACGCTCCTACTGCCAAAGCTAGACCTGGTTTTGCCACCATGCCTTGCCTGTCATGATGGACTGTTCTCTCAAATTGTGAGCCAAAATAAACTCTTCCTTTTTAAATTAAAAAATTGAATTTATTTATTTTGTGTGTGCACACTGGGGGGAGGTATGAGTGCACTCTGCCACAGTGTGCATGTGCAGGCCAGAGGACAACATTCAGGGGTCAGTTTCTCTCCTTCCACCATGTGGGGCCCAGGGATCAAACTTAAGTCATAAGGTTTGGTACAAGTGCCTTTATGCACAATCGTTTTCTTGTCTTATCCTTCCTTTCTAAAGTTACTTTTGTCTAGCATTTTGTTGAGTATTTTGTCATAACAAGAAAAGTAACTAATACCCATGGGCCTATGCATTTACATAGCTACAAACAATAGCTACTGTTAGTGGCTCCCTTTAGAGAGAGTGTGAAGTTTTTTTTTGTTTTAGATAGCCCCTTACTCACTGAGATTGTCTAGTTGCCATTCATCATCTCACTTTTACCTCTCCTGACACAGCATCTTTGATGTCTTCTGGGTATTTTGGCCATTTAAGTTGGTAAACTGTTCTACATCTGATGTGGAAGCCTTTCATCCAGCACCACTGATTGCTTTGGAGGTTCCCTGGAGAAAACATGGGCTTCAGATGGAATGAGCATCACTCTGCTGCTTCTCTCCTGTGTGACTGGCCAGGGTAAGGTTCGTTTACCTCTTTGATCTCCTGTTTCTTTATCTGTAAAATGAAAATAATGGTGAGGTAGTTAAGAGGATTAAAGATAATAACATAGCACTGAAGAGAGACAGGAAGTGAGAGCAGCAGGTTCCTTTGATAAGCCCTATGCTCTCAGAAGGCCAGGCCACTCCTGTTAGGTTCCCGCATTGTCAGCTCAGAATGCGTTTGTAGATACTCTCAGGTATTTGGATACATGTAAGAAAAAGATACGAGGCCAGATATCACTTAAGTAAAAATATTTTCTAAAATTGTCAGCTTCCATCTCTAAGAAGTCATCAAGAGTTAGTGTTTGGTAAACGAGTAGCATGTCTACGACTTGGATGATAATTATATACTATGGTAAGTCAAATTCTTGCAATAAGATATATTTGAAAAATAAAAATAAAAAAAATACGAGAGTTGATATGGTTTCCATTCTGGAAAACAATCTTAAAAAGACAATTTCCTTGGGTTGAGGAGATGGCTTAGTTGGTAAAGTGCTTACCAGAAGCATGGGGACCTGAGTTCAGATTACCACCACCCATATAAAAACCCAGGTTCAGTGGAAAGCACCTATAATCCCAGGGAGGTGAAGACAGGAGAATCCCTGGGGCTTGCTGGCCAAGCAGTCTAGCCAAATTGATAAGCTCCAGGTTTAGTAAGAGACCCCCATCTCAAAAAATAGGTAGAAAGGAGCTAAAGAGATGACTCAGCAGTTAAAAGCACTTTCTGCTCTTAAAAGGTACCAGGTTCAATTCCCAGCACCCATATGATGGCTAAGAACCATCTGTAACTTCAGTTCCAGGGGATCCAATGCTCTCTTCTGGTCTCTGCAGGCACTATAGTTACATGAAGACTATAAACATTCATAAACATAACATAAAATTAAAATATAGGTGGAGAGAGGTCACTTAACATCAACCTTTGGTCTCCACACACATATGCACACACGTGCATACACAAAGACACGAGACATACAAACACACACAATTTTTAAAGACAATTTTCCATACTTCACTTGCCTAGACCTTCCAAAGGTCTCCTGATACATCTATACATAAAATCCATACTCTGTTTTCTGTTTGCCTCTACAACAAATGGTCACAAATGTGGAGGTTTAAAACAATACCAATAAGGTGATCATTCAACTCTATAGGCTACAAGTCTGACATGAGTGTCACTGAACTAAAATTAAAGTGTAGGTAGGGCTTCATTCCTTTATCTTAAGCTTTGGAAGTGAACTCATTCTCCTTTTCTAGCCTTGAAAAGACAAGCTACATTGCGTTATTTGTGAGTCTATTCACGTACATGCGTCGTTACACTTTGTCTCAGTCATTTTTGTCTCCTACTCTCCTCCTTCTCCATCTCCAGCTGACTCCCCTTCTCCCTCCTGTTAGTCCTCCTTCTTCTTTTCCTTTACATATAATCCATCACCCCTTATCTTTCTCACCCCTCCTTAAAATCTCTTCCTCCCGTCTCATAATTTCTTTTCTTATTTTGAGACCATCAAACACACCCACATCCACACTTTTAAATTGAGGATCTGCATATGAAGGAAAACACTTTCCCTGAGACTGATTTATTTCACTTAACAATGATTTCCAGTTATATCTATTTTCCTGCAAGTGTCATGATTTCATTTTTCTGTATAGCTGCAAAACAATCCAATGTGTTTATGCACGACAGTTTCTTTATTCACTCATCTATTGACAGACATTTAGACTGGTTCATTTCCTGGCTATTATGAACAGTGTGGCTGTAAAGATGGATATGCAAGTATCTCTGTGGCATGCTGACTTAGAGACCTTTGGGAACATCCCTGAGGGCAGTATAACTGGGTCATATGGTAGCTCTATTTTCAGTGTTTTGGGGACCTTCATACTGATTCCCATAGTGGTTGCACAAGTTCACATTCCCACCAGTAGTGAATACGGGTTCCTTTTTCCCTATATCCTCACCAGCATTTTTGTCATCTGTCTTCTTGATCATAACCATTCTGACTCAATGATAGCCATCAGTGAGATGGAATCTTAAGGTAGTTTTGCATCTCTCTGATGGCTAAGGTTGTTGAACACTATTTCAAGTATATATTGGTCATTTTTATTTCTTCTTTTAAGAACTGTCAACAAGAACAACAACAAAAAAAAAAAAAAAGGAAAAGGAAAAGGGGTAGTGATGCATGCCTTTAATCCCAGCACACAGGAGGCAGAGGCAGGTAGATCTTTGTAAGAGGCCAGCCTGGTCTACATAGTGAGCTCCAGGCCAGCTGGGGCTACAGGAGATCCTGTCTCAAAAAGACCAAAAAGCACAGTAACAACAGAACTGTTTTATTAGCCCATTTATTGATTAGATAATTTGTATTTTGGTATTTAATTTTTTCAGTTCCTTATATATGTTGGATATTAATCTCCTATCTGATGATAGTTGACCAAGATTTTTTTCCTCATTCCATAGGCTTGTCTCTTCATTCTGGTGATTGTTTCCTTTGCTGTACAGAAGTTACTTAAGTTCATGTAGTCCCATTTGTTAATTCTTAGGATTATTTCCTGTGCTATCGGAAAGTCTTTATGCCTACATCTTAATTTTTTTACTTTGTGTATGTGTGTGTGTGTATGTGTGTGCACATGCACACACATGTGCATTCATATGCCACAGGATACGTGGAGGTCAAATGACAACTTGTGAGAGTTTGTTTCTCCTTCCATCATGTGGGTCCTGAGGGTCTGTCTAACTTGGGTTGTCAGGCTTGGTGGCAAGTGCCTTTACCCACTGAGCCATCTCACTGGCCCAGTATGCATACACCTTGAAGTCTTTTATCTCTGGCAGTTTCAAAGTTTTAGGTGTTACATTTAGGTACTTGATCCATTTTGAATTGATTTTAGTGCCAGGTGAGAGCTGTGTATCCAGTTTCATTCATCTGCATATGGAAGCCCAGTTTTCCTAGCACTGTCTGCTAAAGAAGTTGTCTTTTCTCCAATATTTATTTTTGGCATCTTTGCCCAAAAAATTAGGTGACTGTAGCTGTGTGGCTTATTTCTGGGTCCTCTATTCTATTCTACTGGTCTACAAATCTGTTTTCATGCCAGTACCATGCTATTTTTGTTACTATGGCTCTGTACATAATTTGAAGTCAAATACTGTGATAACTCCAGCACTGGTCTTTCTGCTTAGGATTGCTTTAGCTTCTTAGAGCATTTTATGCTTTCATATGAGTGTAGAATTTTTTTCTAGTTCTGTGAAAAAATATCATTGGAGTTTTGATGAGAATTTCATTGAATCAGTAGACTGCTTTTAACCATTTTCACAATATTGGTTCGGCTAATTCATAAACAAAGGAGTTCTTTCCTCTAGTGTTTTCTTCAGTTTCTTTCTTTTGTCTCTTAAAAAATTCAGTTACAGAGGTCTTTCACTTCCTTTCCTTGGTTAGGTTTATTCTTTTTTTTTTGTCTTTTTGAGACAGGGTCTCCCTGTAGCTCCAGCTGTCCTGGAACTCACTATGTAGACCAGGCTGGCCTTGAACTCACAGAGATCTGCCTGCCTCTGCCTCCCGAGTGCTGGGATTAAAGGTGTGCACCACCACACCCAGCAGTTTATTCCTTTTTTAAAAGCTGTTGTGAATGGACTTCCCTCGCCCTGATTTGTTGTTTAGTTATTGGTATATAAAAAACCTACTGATTTTTGTATGCCAGTTTTCTCTTACTTCTTTTGCAAGGCTGAGGATCAAACCCAGGGCCTCACATCTGGAAGGCAACCTACATCTCATCTTTTATCTCCTGTTTCTGCTTTCAGGGGGCCGTGTGATTACTGGACCCACCAGGGATATTCTTTCTATCGTAAGGCCAGCTGGTAGACAAACTTAATTCCATATGCAACCCTTAAGCCTTTGCCATATAATAACACATTCACAGGTACAGAAAATAGGAGGTAGACAACACAGAGGTTGTCAATCAGTCTTAATGGGTATATATTTTACATATGAAATTCATATTTTATATAATTTAAAATTTTACCATATTTGTATTTGTCTTAATCCTCAAACAACCCTGTGAAGTAAAAGCTACATTTATCATAAGACAACAAGCTAGTTAAGAAATGTGTCTGGTTTCAGGGCTGGTAAGTGAGATTCAAGGCCAGAGCTGTTTTCTTTTAAAGACAGGTCCTCCATCATTGGGTTGTCCTAAAATTAGTTCAAATTGTACCTTCCAACAAAAGGTTACTGTAATGAAAATAGCATTTTGTGTGGAAGGAACAGTTCAAGGGGAATATACCAGTTAAAATTCAAATAAACATCACACCTGAGCAACAAGACTGCCTTCGTGGGTTGCTTATACGTCATACACTTTTGGTAGACGATTTTTACTTTTCATTTCATGCCTAAAGTTTCTGAACTGTTCATCACTGCTGCTTTTCAAATGTTAAACTGGTCAGGTGTGATGGTGGATGGCTGTAATCCCTGCACACTAGAGGCTTACACAAGAGACTCATGAATTCCAGGCCAGTCTAACTACAGAGAGACCATGTTTTTAAAAAATGTTTTTAGTTGGCATAAGCTCTCCTAAAGCTGGAAGCTTTGACTTCGCTTATTTGCATTTTTTTTCTATTTGTTTAGCATTCTGCATCTAGATTAGAATTTCATTTTTCTCTTAGGTTCAAATGTTATTTTTTTTTCTTTTTATTTTTTTTTTAACTTTTAAAGAATTTATTGAGAATTTCATATATGCATATAAGGTGTTTTGATTAAATCCATGTGCACTCCCTCCCCTCCAACTCCTCCCATATCTCCCCATCACTTTTTCCTAAATAACTTCATGTACTCTTTTTTTTTTTTTTTTTTTAACGTGGTTTTTTGCTACTCTAACAGTCCCCCCTTAGCAACATACACTGTTCCAAAGGCCAAAAATGTCAAAAGTATTTGGGAGCTCTTATTTACAATTTAAAAGTAAACAAAACCACAGGAAGTCATCTAGTCTAGTCTAGTGCCTTAAATACTTCAAACTACTAGTTTTTCACTGCTATTTAGG